GGTATAGATTCTATGTTGTGTCAAACTATTTTTTCGACCCACGTCAGAAAACGAGAGGGAGAAAACATGTTGAAATTCTTGAATGACACGTTTGGCAGCATTCCTCTCTTCAGCACTTAATTGTGCATTCTGCAATAACTCTGATGTCATGCTCTCTGAAGATATGGATTCTGTTACTTTTTTTCAACGCTGGTCACTGGAGTACATGCTGCAACCACTTCACCTTACAACTCTCGCCTTCTCAGTTGCATTGGCAACTCTCGCTGGATAACGATCCTCGATAGGTCGACGAGTGCTGAAGCTCCTTTTGGACTATTACATTTCTTGGTATATTCTATGATGCCATAGCGGAAATTTCTGTTTTCGGCTATGGATCCAGGAAATAAAATTTCTGTTCTTGCAGGTATTGCGATATTGTCTTGAGCTATGATTTTATTTCACTCCTTCATCATTAATTCTGAATAGAGCTACATCCTCAGAGGTAGAATGCAATTCGTTATTTTTGAAGTCCAAGGAAAAATCGTAGTTCCTTAGAAAGTCTAATCCGAGTATGCAAGGATCAGTAATCACTGCCACATATGCTGTGTGATAGTAGGGGGCACTTCCAAACAAAATGTTAACATTTAATTTTCCATCAGTAGCGATTTTATCACCACATACAGTCTAAACGGCAAATGCAGGGCGGTGTCCAGATGAGTTGACCTTTAAATTGTTGAGCCAAATATTTTAAATGATGGTAACATTGGCTCCTGTGTTGATGGTTATATTGCAAGGAACTCTATTGATATGCCTCATTATCAAAAGCCATTATTGCAGAAATCTGAAGCACTTTGAACTGGGGCTTTTCATTATCTGGCAACCTCCATCCCATGAAATGGCCACTAATTAGATTCCCTTTTTATTTGATAGGCAGGGTCTTAACTTTCGTGCCCTGGGGACTCTGCAGTTCCATCGTATATGGCCTTCAGCATCACAGATCCAAAACTTTGGGGTTGGTTTCTTGTCACTAGTATTCCTTCTCAAGGCATTCAGTTGTCTAGTTAAATCGTCAACACGAGCAATCATTTGATCTTATGCCTTTTTGGACTGGAGCAGCTCTGATTGGGTGGCGGCCTGTATGAGTTGCTTGCTTGGCTACCTCGAACTTCTTGGCATACACTTAAGTCCTTGACATCCGCCATTCATAGAGCTTTCTGTATTTCAAGATCCCGGATGCTGTCGATGAAGATTGCAGGGACAGGATTTCTCTTGTTTCTGTCGGGCATTCCGAAAAGGCAAGATAAGATAGCCTTTCTACATCTGTGGCAAGGTCCTGGAGTGTTTCCGTGGGCTTCTATTGACGAGACTTTAATGAAAGTCTGCTGTTATCTTTTAAACACTTCTTGCCAAAGTGCAGCTCCAACATACCGGATAGAGCTTCATAGTATATTCTCGGATTTTCTGGAAGAGTTTGAAAAATATCCGCTGCTTCTGCTCTCAGAGAAGCGGTGAGATGGCAGGCCTCAGTATGGGAATCCCATCCGTTCGCATCCGCCACCATAGAAAATTGCGTCTTATATATTGGCCAGGTAGTCTTTCCATCATACACAGATAGCTTCAGTGAGGGACGAGCAGGCATGGTTAAAAATTTAAAACCATCAGAATTGCCCCGTGCCATCGCTAGGAATTTTTTTAAAGTATCAACTTCTTTGGCAACTGCAGAAACCCTGTCATCAATATGTTGTTAGACGGCAGAAACTCTTCCTTCTATTTGTTCTTTCACAGAAGAAATTCTTTCTTCAATGTGTCTAACTCTGTTCTCAACAGCGTCTATTCTGCCTTCTATAGCCTCAAATTTGTTTTCTGTTACACAGGTAATTTCTCTTTTCATTTCCTCTTTAATAGCTTGCATCTCTGCTTTAACAGAAACTTGGCCAGCTTTCATGTTCTCTTTAGCTGATTCTTGATAGTAAGTTGTAGGTAATGTTGCTAAAAATATAAAGGCTATAAATGTTTTAAAATATAAGAAAAATAATTTATTGGACATTCTGTTATTAAATATTATACTTCAGAATCTAGATTATGAAATACATAAATAATTTGATTTAAGCATTAATTAATTTTATTAAGAAATTCCTACATTTGATGAATTAATTTCTTTTTAGAGAAAAGATATCAGTTATTGGATAACATTAATATTAATAAAGTGAAATATCTGTTAGGGAAAAAGTTCAAAATCAAAGGCTCTGATGGTCAAAACCAATAGTGCTCCAACTTTTTTGTGATGTGCAAAAATAATAATCATCCATTGCCTAAATGTAACTCATTTTAAAAATTAAATTCAGTTTGAAGATGTGAAATAGTTAAAAACAATAAATAGTGTTTAATGAGTCTTAGTGAGAAACATTTTATCACAAAATATAACTCTAAATTCAGATGCTCTGAATGCAGTAAAAATCATTGCTCATTAATTCATCCCCTTCTCAGCAATGTCACCATGGATCAGCAGTTGGACAAAACAAAGACAGAAAGAGGGAGTGACCAAGCAAGAATGTAACTGGTTCTCCTAAAAATCAATCAAGTTGTCTTTTGATATGAAGAAACGTATTATTAGCAACTGCAATTGTATACATTTGTGATTCAGAAGGAAAAAGAATTTTAGTGTGCACTATTTTAGACAATGGAACTATGTCATGTTTTATGACCGAAAAAATTACTTTAATTAATTTGTTAAATATTATATAAAGAAATGAAGAATTTATGCATTTATATCTGGAATAAATGAAAAGGTTATAAATATTAATTTTCAACTAGATATACAGATCTCGAATAAGGATTTAACATAGGTAAAAAATGTATCTCTGGTTAGAGACTGGAGTGCGGATGTTCGAACCTTAAGAAGCACATACCTTGCTCTTATTAGGGCTGTCCTGAAATATGGTGTTCAGATTTATCAGGTCGCTTTTCCTAGCAACTGGAAAGGGTAAAACTTTTGGCTGCCAGAACCATTACTGGTCTCCGCAATTGCTGCTTGAGGACATGTCCCTCAAGCAGCAAAAGATTCCATTCAGTCTGTATAGAATTCAGCCCGTGAATGCAGACACATGTGGTCTTGCATTATCTTGATGGAATATTGCGTTTTTTCATCGGAACTCAGTTCAATGTTTTTTCTTGATAACAGCCTCTACGCACAGTAGCATCTTGCTGCACACCTTACTGTCAAGAGTTTTACCTTTTCCCACACATTCTTTGTGGATAATACCACGGTAATCCCACCAGATACAGAGCATGATCTTTTTGTTAATCAAACTGTGCTTTGTGATGCAGCCAAGTGAGCACACTGGGCACAGACCAACCCCTCTTTTTTGCCTATGTTGTTGAAATAAATCCACTTTCACAAGTGACAATCCAACTAAGAATTTTGTCCTTTTGTTGATATTCGAGCTGCCTACGTCAGCTCATGCGGCACCCAATGACTGAACTTGTACATCAAGTTTATGCGATGCATAGCGCGATGATGGGCATGGCACTAACATGTAACTCCTTAGCAATCTCTCAAGTGGTTGCATACTGATTTTCTTCCACAAATTCTTGCAGATGCACCTCATCAACATTAGTAGGCCAGCTTGAGCGTTCTGCTTCTTGAATGTCATAGTCCTTGTTTTTGAACTTTCGGTACTAAACCTTCACAGTGTCATATGATACAACATTAGTACCTAAAACTGAACTTCTGATACCAAACCTTCAGAGTGTCATATGATACAACATTAGTACTTAAAGCTATACACAGTATTTTTTGACAAGTCTCTTTCTTTCAAGTGCCAAAAATCATCTGACAAAATAAGATTAAACATGCCAATGTGAACTGTTTACGTAGACGATATTTATGGTGGTGGGAAACTTTCATTAAAAATCCAATAAAGCCAGTGTTATTAAAGTTAAAATATTAAATGGTGTATATGTTAGAATTAATAGTCATACTTGTCACTCACTCACTCAAAGATAATACTCAAAGATACTCAAAGATAATAATCTTTAGCTTATGTTATTGCATTCTTATTAAAAATTGTGCTTTATATTGAAAATAGAACTCTTTTAAAAGTGTAAATAGAATTATAACATAATGAAATTAGTTCATGTTCTTTATGATGTTTATATTAATTTATACTGTGTATCATGATTATCTTTTTATATTATGTTATACTGTATTTCACAATGGAAAATTATTTATTGGCTTTTCATATTTAGATTGTAAAATTAATTATTCTTAAAATTGTATGTTTTTAAGTTATATATATTAAAATTTAGAATATAATCCGGGTGCGACATGTTAAGTTAGTGCTAGCTATTGTAACCGTAGGAGACGCACACTTAGCCACTGGATTTGATTAAGGCAGCATGCCAGGGGATGTCAGTGGTATATTATTAATAATTAACATTAATAAAGTTGTTTTGTCTTTCTCAGTATATTTTGCTCAGTTTAGTTTAGAATAGTAGAAACACAGTACAGCATCCTTGTTTGTGTTAGCTTTCATTGTGCTCTTTCTAGCCAACATTTTTGTCACTCTTAAATGTTTTTGTCACTACAAGGCCTACCAGTTAGTAGCATCATTGATAGAATCCCACCCATCCCCAAAACATTTAAAATCATTTATAAATACACTTAGAATACAGCTTCATCACTGTAAACTTGTTGCAGCATGTTGTGACTTTCATAGATTTACCAAGCATGGAACAGAACTTTAAATTCATTCCTTTCTCCATTTTACAACTACTGCTATACCTTTGCTTACTAGGGTGTTACTCACAGAAATCCATAATACCAATTCCTAGGATATGTTCAGTTATGTTCAAATACATTATGGAGTTCATGGACTTTTTGGTATTTATGGATTTTTGTGCATGTGCATCTTATCACATAATTCACTGAATTTTTATCATATTTGCCATATTTATCAAAGCATATTTAGATATTTTTTACATATTTGCATTGTTTAAATTGTATTTCTTTACTTTTATAGCCTCCACCATCAATGTGGCCAACTACACCAGATATGACTCCTAACACATACACAGCTCCTCCTCCTGTTTTAAACTACACAGGTAAGATGTGCATACAATGTTTGTTTATTTAGTCATTCCCATTTAAAATATTTAATAGTAACATCTGTTTGTATCACAAAAATCCATTAACCAATTTGATTAAATAACTGTGATTTTCTGTATTTATCTGGCACTGCATGATGTTTCTTTGGGCTTACAAAGTAGGAAACTACTGTCATCCTGTTAAAAAATTGAAGGGAAAATATTAGATAAAAATGATGAGGACCAAGTTGAACTTGAATAAAATGACACCAGAAAATGCTAAACAGTAAATTGATCACTTAATAACTATATGCCAAGCAGGAAAATGTTTTTGGTGTTGTTCCCTTATTGTATGGAAGTTTCGAGAACTTCCACAATCCCCAAAGATTATGTTTCATGACTATATAGGATGGGGTAAAAGCTTCAAGGAGCAACTTTTAGTATTGTAGTGCTTGTTTATTGCATAAACGAAATGTTTAAATGTCAGATATCAAAATTATTGAAATTAGCTCTTTGGTCATCATGAAAGTGCGTAGGTTTGTTTATAGAAAAGAAACATAGCAGTGTAAAATGTAAAATTAGGCAATAAGAAAAGCATCCTTATATATGTGTAGGTTTTGAATAAAACTATAATGATTTCAAGGATGATTCCACACTGCTGCATCTTTTCCGAAAGGGGGGAATTATTTTCAAAGAGGTCAAATAGCCTTTGAAATCAGTAAAGTTTTATTCAAGATCTATGCCAATCCCAGGTTGCAATTTTGCCTAATTTTAAATAAAGCCTAGATCTCGTACAAGATATGCACTATGAAACATATTGGCAAACAATTTTATTATAGTTACTGGCTTGGTAAACAAAATTTTAGTCTTTATGAGTCATAGTTGACTGCAGTCAGTTGTTAAAAAAATATTGCTTTGTTTGTTTGTAAATACTTTTTTAGGACTGTATTAACTGACTTAGATTTTGAATTCTGCAGATCATTTAACACAGGTGCCACCAAATTATCATAGTAACTATACTCTTAATAATTTTCCAACTACAAGTTATCAAAGCACTCCAGTGCCTTTGCCTCAGACAGTTAACTATAGTCAGATGCCACCACCCATTCATGTTCAGTCTTCATCTTATGCCCCACCACCTGTAGTTAGTGCACCACCAACCTATGTGACAGCGATGCATTATTCAAATAACCAGCAAAGATCTCAAGAACTAAATTTTCACCAGGTATGAGTTATTTTATAACTTTTGTTATGCATTATTAAATATATTGTGTGTTTGGTATATTATTAAATATATTGTGAAATTTGTAAATTATTTTATGCAAAATCATCTGTAACTTTTTAATGGTTTTGAAAGCATCTGAGATTGAAAAGAAATTATCTTAAATCATATAAACCAGTACAAGATAACATTCAATAACATTACAGAATTTGAGACTTTATTTTCTTATACTTATTTACAAATAAAATTATTTTAAGATCCTGAATAATTATCAGATTTTAGGCAAAATCTTCTGTATTTGTTATCTAAAATCTTGTTTCTAAGTATGACATGTTTGTTGTCCCTCTATTTTTAAATATAAGTTGTTAATGTCATATTTGAAAACAGAGGTATTGTAGGTTGACGCACTGAGTAAAGTAGGTGCTTTCACAGACAACCCACTTGCTTCCTCATTTGGATCTGAAATGCTCCATCTGATGCAGCTGGCTGTTCTAGCTCTAAATGACAATGCAGATTGGGTTATATACCAGAACTCCTACTTATGTTTAAACATGATTTTATTTTAGCAACCTAGAATATTTCATCGTATTTTTAACTTCATTTTAACCATGTGTACTAGTCAGTTCTTGAACATAAATAATCTAAATTTGTTTTAAAAAAGTAATGCTGAAAGATTTTTTAAACAAATTGCAAGAACTATAAAATATTGCTCATAAAAATTTATCAAAATGAAAAGTGCGTAGAAATCTTGAATTAAACTTCAGTCTTATTTGTGAACTGAGTTGTTGTGCAAGCAGTTTCTTTCTGATTATCCACCCCAATTTCAGTGTGGCATGACCATTTCAGTGTGTATTTTTGGCATGATTTGGAGTATCCATGTGATAATAGGAAAACTATGCATGTGAATATTATGTACGTCTTAACACTTATGATTTACACTCTTTGTATTTTAATTTTGTTTCATTAAACGGTATTTGTCAGCCATAAAAATATAAATATTTGCCATTTATGTATACCTGCCCACACTCATAAAATTTTTCATTTCTTATAAAAGGCTTCCTTTCATTATTGTTTATAACTAGACCAGCACTTGAGTCATAAAGACAACCAAAGATTTTTCAACAGCTCACAGTGTTTGCAATGAGTTGCTGACGTTTCAAGGGGGGTTGTAGATAATCAAAGTACTGAAATATTTTTACTATTTATTGGTTTATGAATAGTATTTCAAGATGATGCCAAAAACATGAAATGGAATAATATTTCTGATTGAAATGATTATTTTCATGTTTCATTTTAGCCTGTTTTGATATGTTTTAAAAAAATTGCAATGATAACTACTGGATTTACTTCTGCATGTCAAAACTAGAATTTCCTGTCCATTAAGCAACAAGTACTATATTTTTCTTTAGATATATATGGTGTCATAGTACTGATATTTTACATTTTGTATAGCAGTATCATGATCATGGGAAAGCACAGCATTCAACGACTCAACATATTCAGTAAGTATGCAGTTTTTATTTTATTAATTTGGTAATTTAGAAGCATTTGTATATTGATTTCTTGTTTGTTGTGCAGTGTCCAGTTTGAAATTTTTGCCAAGTTTAGATGCAGGTTAGGATGTAACCTTTCTTATAGTTACAAATACTGCAGATGCTGAAAGTAGATTAAAATAATGTTTGCTTTCTATTAGAACTTTTAACCCATTAAATGCCAAAACTACAAGGAATGATTCTTTTCTCTTGAAAATAAAAAAAAAAAAAAATGCTCTTACCTGTGGGAAAAGAGAGTGTTGTGTTCGCGCAATGTCTGTAATAAGACTACGGATATTTAGTGACTAAAATTGTATTCGTGTGATGTTTCCTTTGAGTGGAGCACTGTATTACTTTTTTGGCTGTATAACATTTAATAATAAATCATTTTACTTGATATTAATTTAATATTAAAATATGCATTATATTTCTTTTACAAATACAGATTATTTCAATTGAAAGATTCAAGCATAAAAAGCTTCAATACAGTCATGATGTAAAGCTACATTACATACTTTACATCTATAAACAATCTGGCTATGGCACTCTTTACAACGAAGTCTTTTGTTATCATCGTACTTTACGATAAAATGTCTACCATCTCCATGCAGTGGTTTTTGAATGCTGAATTTACTAGGTCTTCTTGTTGCTGATCTATTTCTGACTAATTCTGCACTCTCAATAGGAGTTTGCAAAAGAAATAATGCAATCTCGCGTCTGAAATCTAAAACACACTTTTTATTTCCAGTAGTAGAAAGTCGTGATATTTAGTAAATTTAGATAGGGTCTCACCTTATATAATTTATCAGTATTGTCAATTTGACTATTGTCAGCTATATGCAAATTCTGCTTCATATTCCTTTACTGTAAACGTAATATCAGTTCTCGTACAATAGGAACAGAAATGTCCTTATCAAGTGACCAATACATTTCTTGAGGAAAAGAATGATATCCCGTAAAAGCAATAATAATCCAGTAAATCTTCCCATATAGGCTTCAGATGCAATAAATTCTGGGAGATTTTTTTTTTTTTTTTCTCTCCAGCAAAGAAGCGTAGTTACCTTGTATTTTTTCTTTTATAGTTTCTCTTCTATCTCTTTCTTTATTTTCCTCCTGAGACATAACTGACGGTTCCTTTTTTATCCATTTCAAGTTTTCAGTTTTCTGCATTTTAAACTTTTTATGACTACCACTCACTTTTAGAAGGCTGAAACTGATTTCTTACGGGAATTTCAACTTCCCTAACAGTATCATTTGGTAGAATATCATTATCATTATTTAAAACGTTGTCATTCCCTTCTTCTTCATCAGTAGCTTCTGCATTTCTGGGGGAACAACAACAATATCAGTTTCATTCTGCTCATTATTAGCATTATCATCATCAGTTTCTTCATCAAAAAAATCTTTGAAGGGCTTCCTCTAATGTAAGATACCTTGTTATAGGCATTTCTTAAAGCAGCCAGAACATGAACCAGAACATTGAAAGAAATGAGTAAAAAAGGAGCTTACCCGTTTCCTGCTGATGTTGTGTCAGTGCAACACCTGTTTTCCCTTCCTTTCCAACAGAAATATAAGCATCTAATTGATGTAATGTTCTGATAAACGATGACCTTGAATAAAAATAGATCAAATCATAAAGATTGCGATTCTTTTGTTAAATATTTTCGAAAAAAATGCCAGATCAAAAATTTTGCTTAAAGTATGAGATTAATTATTATAAACAAAATGATTGTTGAAGGCAAATATTTTTTTACAGAAATAAGCTTCATAATCCCTACACAAAATCATCTGCTGGTACAAAATATCTTAGGTAGTTATATTTATATGCACATTTATTTTGACCGTTGTGTCAACACAACACCAGTGGTTAATGGGTTAAAGTTTTAGATCATATTAAGGTTCTGATACATATTAAGGTTTTTCAGTTGCTACCCCTGTTTCATCACTGAGATTTTTTTCACGACCCCAGGACCCACCCCGTAATATTTACAAAAATTTTTTGGTATCCCATAGGTATTGTGCAAATACGACACACGCATGAATGAAACTGTCAATTTGTTCATTTGTACTGTAATATACTATTGCAGTTTTAGGTCATTAACTTTAATTTCTAATTTTACGACATAGAACAATGTGAAAATTTTAAATAAGTAACAGACAAAATGATAGTTTCGATTTTCCTTGCAAAACAAGAAAAATGAATGTTTATATTATAAAAAGAATGTGTCAAAATGTTTTTTTTTTTTTTTTTTTTTGTCTGTATTGTTTTATCTTTACCTATTTTTGGATGCATTGTGTAAAAATATTTGGTAATTGTAAAATTATTGTAATAAGTTAAAGAAATATTAAAACTGTTAAAATTTGTGGCGACTCCTTGCTGCAGGTCCCGCGACCCACAGTTTAAGTTGTTTATTGAATAATACAAATTCCTGGCTCACAAAACAATTTATGACCAAATGGTTCATGGACATTTCTTTAAAGAGGCTAGAAAGCATTGTAACACTGTGGGGTTACCATCAATTTATAAGATTTTGCCCCCAATACTACATTGATCCAACCAAGGGACAAGGCATAATAAAGCATATTAAATGTCACTCCTAATCAAGTTTCTGAAAAAATTTCATTCAAGAGACCATTCTGTTTAATTTTGTGGTGATTGAAAAAATTCCCTATCAGAGACTGCCTATGTTAGGTAGCAGAATCATGGAATTCTCTTTCTCAAACAACATTAGTAAATGGCTTGCATAATGTATGGGTATCTTCTCTGTTTATTGAAACTAAGAATGATGACAGTAAGTTTTCTGATTTTGAGTCATTGCAGCAAAGGTTAAAGTAAAGGAATTGCTTGTGTGTTTGAAAGGAAGAACAAATGAGGTGGCTTTGCAAGAAGGAAATATCACTGAAGGGATGATGTGTCTAGATGAGCCAAAACTGGTATATCAGATGACCAATGAATGAAATTATTAGCTCTGTTTTGAATTCAACACAGCAAGATAATGATTCCAACATCAGTACACATAGTCAATTTGATATGAGTGAGAAAATATCTTTTAACAAAGTTTGGAACGTGGTGAGAAATGCCTAAAATTTTTAGAACAGCAGAGCTGTGTTACAGAGTATGAGATTATGACTCTAATTTACTCTGAAGAATAAAATTCTAAAAGAAACCTCTATCAGAAAAATATGTGAAACATGTTAAAAAAAAGAAATATTTTATTGTTTATTAATATCCTTTATTTTCATTTGTCTTTATTGTTTATGTCCTTAATGGCCTTATTTATTCTGCATTTTTAGTTTAAATATTATAATCTCTATCTTTTCTTTTTTAAAACTTGCGAAATTCTAAAATCCACATAGCCTCTGTTCCGAAGCATTGTAGATTTCTGGTCTTCTTTTGTATATCCAAAAGTAAGCAAGCGAGCGACTTAAAATTAATCATCAGTGCAAAATATTGCAAGAAAAAATTTTCCCTTTATATTTAAAATATTAAAAATCTTTGGATAATTTTTAAACATTCAGTAACCCAAAACTTAATATATTAATTAAATGAATATATTCAAAATTAATCAAATATGTAAAAATTCAACATATTCATAATTAAATTATTGTATGAAATAAGTTTCCAATTTCAGTTAATTTGTGTTCAGAATTAAAAAATAAAATTAACCATTTAATTATCTTTACAAATTTAATGAATCATCTTTTTCTAATACATGTAAAGAATTTGTAGTCTTTTTTTGAAACTTTATTCGGATATTTATTTTATTGTTAAAAGGTAATTTTATTAAAATTAAATCAAACTTTAGCCACAGAATAAATAAGTACTGAAAATGCTGCAGGCTTCTTTATATTTTGTTATAAAAATTTTGTTGACATTGCTAATCCTCTGCATTATTAGAAAGGTAATTTAAAGAGCTGTTTTAAAGTTCTATCTTTATCTGGCACTTATTTTGCTCACCCAGGAAAAACAAAATTCTGAAACGTTTCAGATTTTAACAGTCACCCAAAAATCTTTTAAAGTATAATATGGTTTATCAAATGGGTTCTCAACCAGGGTTGAATGCAGTCAGCTTTTTATTTACCTGTGAAGTATTTAGATTTAGTTTATGAATGTAAAATGTTACTTTTATTCAAGTTCTGGTATTTATCAACATTTTCTATACTTCTGGTTTAATTTATAAAACATTTGCAGGGTTCATATAGTCCTTAAAAGTACTTGAAATCCATTAGTTTTTTTTTTTTTTTTTTTGGAAATGATTTTTATGCCTTAAAAGTGTTTCTTTCTATCAAAACCGGCAAAAGGTCCTTAATTTTACTCATCTGACATTTCTGTCTCTCTTTTTAATCCAGAGGAGAAATTTGCCGTTAAGGACTATTATTTTCGTTTTGGCATTTTGCATTGGTTCCCTTTTCAAATTGTTGCCACCAAATATTATCGCCCTGTATTATATTTAAAGAAATTAAATAATGAAGAATCTGCATAAATGTATGCATGTTTCTCGTATTGTGATAAAACAACAGTAGCTAGAGCCATCCAGTTTTGAATAATGTACGTTTCCACCCAAATATGGGCATCTGGAAGACTAAATTTGGAATTTGTTTTATTAACTGTTTCATATTTTGTAAAACTTTAACGATTATATCATGACTGCCATTTTGAGTGTGAATTAAGATTTTGGAAGAGTATTATGCTTTTATTATGATAGATATACATATTTAATGGGTTGGCATTTGAAATCTTTCCTACTTCTTAATATAAATGGTGGACACTTGTGTTTTAGGCAGAAGGCCCTGCATCAGCTGAAACATAAACATTTTGAAATAATTTCTTTTTTTCAAATAAAAGTTCGTAAAATATTGCATAAAAAACTATTTTTCCCTTTTGGAGATATAAGTTCTTTCATTATGGGGTGCTAAATTTGGCAACTTACCAATATTTTGGTGATTTTAAGATCAATTACTGAATCTTAAAGTCTGAATAAATTAAGTATAAGAATAGTGTAGTACCACAGACCACTATTCATTAGTATAATGTTTTCATAATATAATTCCTTCGACCATAATTCTTGCATTTGTGGTAGTAAGAAAGTCAAGCAGTAAGGTATTTTTATCTGTTTGTTGGTTGTATGAAATTATTTAGACACTGTTATATTTAGTATAACTATTCTATGGTCATATTTTATTTACAATACATACTGCATAATGCATGTTTTCTAAAGCTATGTTATTCTGAAACTGTGTGTTTTTATTTATCCCTCCTCTTCCAGGAGAAACAAATTTTCTCAAAATCAGCGGTTCTCTAGGCCTGAGAAAAGACCTTCTAATTCCAATATTAAGGCAGTACCTATAAAGCAGCTCCGCATGGAACATCCTCAAAAAAAAGTAAAGTCTCAATTTATTTTTTAAAGGTCTTCCATTTTTTATATTCATTTAATTAATGAGTTATTTTAGTGATGTCATTTATTAATTTTGTTAGATATATTCTAATTTTATTTCTACAATTTTTCAGACAAATATTCATGTAAATAATTCAAATATCAGAGAAATTCCTCTTGTCGACACATTGCCTTCTACTACTGTTAAAGAGGAAGTGAAGAAACCTGTTCCTATAGTAGAAGAAGAGGTAGGTTGCTTTTTAGTAAAATAATTTTGTTCTTTCTTGAATGATGATCATACTAGTAACCATCATATTATTCACAACAGTAGTGCTTCATAAGATGTGCAGTGTTTCTAGTAATAACAAGTAGGCAAAATATTTTTGTATTTCAGAGATTGACTACGGGACATATTTGTGGTTGATCCTATTTCATATCTTTTATTTTTTAAGGTAGTTTATAAATATTAATTGATAGATATTGATTTGCTGTTTTTGTGTTCCATGTTGTGAATTTATTTTTCCTTTTTCTGAAGGATCTGCTGTATGCTGTTATAAAAGTTAGACTGCCTGTAACTATGTTCAGTACATACTGTGTTTTCGTGTTGATAATCTGTGCCTGTACTGCCATTTTTTCAATGCAAACTCAAAAGTTTACAGCAGAGACAAAGAACATTTTAATCCCATTCCATCATAGAGATCTTTCATTTATTAAATATCTTTAGTGTTCAAATTTTTTCTACTCATAAAAACAATTTTTATGCAATAAAATGGTAGTAAAATAAAGAGAAAATTTTTAATCTTTTTAATTTTTTAAGTTATTTGAGTGTACCTTTTACAATTATGAGAAACTAGCTGAATTATTTTGTTCTGAATTTTATTAATATATATTTAACTTTTTTACATATGTTTGCTTTCTAATATAGAGGAGGGAGCCTTTTTTCATCATGAACATTAAATATTATTTGTTAGCAAATGAAAATGACTTGTTACTAAATAATAATAGTATAGTTTTATCACCATCTGATTATTCTTTCAACAGATTTATATGAAATTCAACTTTTGTGTGGATGCTTCAGTAAACTGAAATATCATATCATGTAATTGTAAAAATTTCTTACAAATAAAATTAGTTCTGACGTTTCTGGAAGTTAGTATTGCTTTACGATTAAAGATTTGAAATCATAAATACCATTAAGAACATTTATTGAGTGGAAGAAGTGAAGCAGAGCAATAAAAACAATAAGCATGGCATTCTAGCACATTTTACACTGAGCACAATTTGTCATCGGTTAAATAATGTAAAGTAATTAGCAGAGTTTACAGGGAAAGAGGATCACTTTATTTTCAAAAATGTAGTGGCATGATATGTAAAAACTTTCATTGAACATAATAGAAGTTTAGTTTGAATAAGCTGGAAATCAAGAAAAAGACATTATTTTAAAGTTATTCCAGTCTCTGAATTCTGATTTACTTCAAGATTGTGCCAATTCATATTATTTTCCTCTTTTTAAACTGTTACCTTTTGAAAAAGTGGCCTAGTGAGGTAATTCGTTATTCACTGTAACATGAAGGAGCAATTAGCAGTTTTGTAGACAGTAGTTGAAAGATGCAAGAAAAGCAATAATATACATTAATTTTTTTTTTAAAGTTGATTTGTATTATTGTTTTTTAGTTGATTTGAGAAGTAAAAAATTATATTTGTGTATAGTTGTGGTTGGACCAACAAAAATGAAGTTTATTGCTCACGCTAAAATGCTTTTAATCTGTATTTTTAAAGTTTCTGTGTTTCATATTCTCATCAACAGTCTGAATAAATTGTTGTAACCCCTTCTTATAAATGCTTAACAGGTTCTGCCTTGAATGCGGTTGAATTAATCTTCAGAATCTGAGAGGGAAAGAATTCACCAGATATCTAGTATTGTGGAAGAATTTTAAAGGCATTGTTTTTTCCCTTGCAAAGAAATTTTTATTTTTGTCAACAATTTTTTCAGAGTTATCTATTTGCTTAGTTAGTTGTTGGTTAAAGAATACACCTTTCTTATAAAAGTCAAAGTTGTATTTTCATAAAGGCTGAGTTGCTACTTCAATAACATAATTGACATCATGTTCTGTGCCCAATGGTAAATAAATTGCTGTGCTGTTACAAACAGTTTTCTGAAACCCCTAAACTAGTTGTCAGAACATATGCTTTGCCTTCACTTATACCTTTTCACGTTATACCTCCAATTACTTTCACTGATAGATAGTTTTAGTGAATGGCCATTTTTTAATATTTGAATATGTAGTGAAGTGTATTTTTCTTGGAAGGGAAAATGAATATCTTTCTCACTTCTCGGTAAATCAAACATTAAAAAAAAGTTTTTTTTTGGGGGGGGGAAGAAACAGAATGTGATAACACAGAGAATATTCAAAACTCTTCTTATGCATTGACAATTTATTGGTAATCTTGGTGCCATTTATGTAATGTGTTCCATAATAATGAGAAAATATCAAAATTTTGCAATATACTTAATTTCTAGGATGAAAAAACCAAAGAATTAAGAATGAAAATTGAAGAACAGAAACTACTTAGAGCACAAATATTAAAGCATAAAGAAGAGCGACGGCGGCAAATGGCTGCTCAAAGACTTTTGGAGCTGAAAAAAAGACAAGCTGAGCAAAATAAAAATATTGTGACTATCACTCAAAAACCAGAACAGCAAAATTTAATAAAAGTCCCCCAGGCACAAGTTGGTGAGCATATATTTCAAGTGCTTTTTCTGTAAAATTATATTTTATATTTTTCCAGTTACCTTTTTCTAATGTTAAATGTTAGGAAGTCATTTTCAGATGGCAAGTTGACAAGAAGTATGACTTAAGTAACCCTTCTATTTTTTAATTTCCATGCAAAAATCCCCCCTTTTTTTACTATGTACTTATAATTAGTACAACAAGACAAAAAAGATTCTACAAATAGTTTTCCAAAATTTTTGTATTTTTTTCATATTTTTATGATGCAAAGTAAATGATAAATAATTATCCTGATCTAGCTCATGTGTTTTTGTTGAATATATAAATTTTTTTTTAATTTCAGTAATTTTAAATTCAATATTTATCTGTGTAGAGAAGATGGGAAAAAATATAAAATGTGAAAAATATACAAAAAATTTTTGTTGTTATTAGAAACAATGTGGTAGGCCTCAAAGCATAGCATACACATAAAAGCACATTACAATATGGGCGAAAATAGCATATGTATACAATTTTTAGACAAAGTCCTAAAAAACGAATTTACAAGCTCTAAGTTGCTTATTTCCCGCCAAATTGTAAAGCACGCTGAATTACTAACCTAACTAAAAGTAGTTTGATATGTGAGTGGATAGGTGCCTCGATGCTGAGTTGAAAGAGCCGTGGCATAAAACTCACATTCTCATGGCAAAACATTGTGAAAGTCACAAGCATAAGCTGCAAAACACATTGCAAGTTTATTCAGTTTATTTGGAATAAATAAAAAAAAGTCAGTCCTGAACCGTGAATCACAAGTTAACTCTTGCTAATTATTTTCCATGACCAAGTTAACTCGGAATAACTAGGCAAGCAGTTAAGTATTTTTTAAAGTCATTGTAGAATCCATAAAGATTGTAGTTTAAATGCATATTAAATTAATATTTTCACTGCTTATTTAATTTTGTACATTGCGTAATGTGGAGTTCATAATATCAATGGATTGTTATTGTCATATAGCTCATATATTAGCCTTTCTTAAAGAATTTTATTGTAAATTAAAATTTTAATGCTTTTTTGTTAATATAAAAGATTTATGGTTAGTTTAAAATTTAATTTATGAGTAAATTATGCAAATAATATTAAAATAGTTTATTTTTTATGGTTACATTGTATGTGAAGAAGCTAAGTATAATTTCATTTCTCAGTTACTTTCCTCTCAGTTAATTGATTTCTTGTTATGTATTTATTCCTGAATGTTGAAATATTATTGATTCTTAAAATTTAATTTTCAGCACTCCAAACTAAAATTAGTGTTAAGGAACGAATAGGATTACCACCAAATAAGACTGCAGTTCCTATGAAGAAAAAAATTATTGTTGTAAGGAAAAAGGTTCCTCCAGTTTCTAACACTGCTGCTGTTCCACCTGAAGCAAAAAATGTAACTTTTTATTTAAATTAGTAATTCAATACATTTTTGTTTGGCTATTCTTAGTACAGTTTCTCGAATCTTTGCTTAAAAAAGAAAATGTTAAATTCTGTGTAAAACATGCAATACTTTTAAAAACTCTGGTAATAATTTTGCAAAGCAAATTTTACTTCTGTCATTGCTAGTGATTGTTTACCAGGAAAGTGTTTCAGTTTATATGGCTGCTCATGGCAAGTCTTGTCATTCTACTAACAAAAGATAATTCTTTCCATATTTTTTATATATATTTTTATATTTGTTTTCATTATCCATTAACACAGTAGCTGAATAAAAGAAAATATTGTTGCTGATATTCCAACTTCATGTACTACCAAATGTTTGAAGAAGAGAAGACATGTTTTTATGAGTTGTAGAAATTAATTACAAGGTGAAAAAATAAGTTATCATGTAGAATATTTAAAACATAAAATATTCGTAATTACTTTTAACACATTTCTTTTTTGTCCAAAGGGGCTTTGTCCCTGAAGGACTATTGTTTTCGTTTTGCAATTTTGCTTTAGTTCACTATAAATCTCCGTTTCACTTTGCAAACTGTTGTCACCAAATGTTAGAGTCCTGCCTTATATTTGAAGAAATTAAATAATGAAAAATCTACATAAATGTATGTATATTTCCCGCATTGTGATAAAACAGCGGTACATAGAGCCCTCGAATTTTGAATGACATGAACCTACTGCAAATATGGGCATGTGGAAGCCCAAATTTGGAATTTGTTTTATTATCGATTTCATATTTTGTAAAACTTTAACGAATTTTTGATTAAAACAAACTTGAGGATTTCAAAGCGAGTAATAACAACCATGAGAGAGATTATTTTAGTATTATTGCACATTTGCAAACACTAGGAAGAATTAAGAAAATTAGAAAAAGAAGAAAAAAAAAAAAGAAAATTAATTTTAATCATTTTTATTTAAACTCTTACTGTTCGATGATATTTGCGTACATGATTTTATTATTTTCTAACCTTGTTTGAGTCTTTTATTTTATTAAATGAGTTGCCTTAATTGTCTGTTCTATTTAATGGGGAGTAAGCCATTGTAAGTGTATGTAACAATTTGCTGTAGCAGAAAGTCATATCTCTTTATCTTATCTGAAAGATTTATCTGTAGAAGAAAGACTGTCCAAAATGCCCTGAGTTGTGCAAAATTTTTAAGGGAGGTGTGAGGTTCAGAAGTTTTGTTGTCAGTTATAACCATGTTTTGCAGAATTTCCTGGAAATTATTTTAAATGAAATATGTAGAATTCTTTAAGAGTGCAATAATAATAAGCTTCTTGTGTCATTTCTACAAATTTGAAATTCAAATATATATTAAAAAAAGCTTTAGTAAGTTTGAAGTTTTTGATTTGTTGTAATTATTATTTAATGTGAAGCAGTATTCTATGATTTGTTGAGAACTGTGAAAACTACTATAGCAGGGATTCTCAACCGAGGGTGGGAGGGAAGAATGCATTAAGCCTTTCATTTATGTATTAAGTATTTAGTTTATGAATGCAAAAAACTGCTTTTATTCAAGTTAGGTAATTATCAACATTTTCTACACTTTTGTTGTTTAAGTTTTAAAACGCATTGAAAAATTAGCTAAATCTAAATAAAGAAATATATTTATTTGTTTAGTTATTAGAAAGAAGGGCATCCCCTTTTTTTCTACTCTAGGATGATCTTCTAGCAATGGTGCATGGGGCAAAAAAAAAGTTCACAAACCCTTTATTATATTCTTTAAAAGCTTCATTCTTATCTAAAAACACAGCACAGCTGCTGCAAATATTTTCTAATTTATCCCTTTAGATTTCTTTCGGAAATATATATTTCTTTAATACTTTGTGTAAAGAATTGCTTTGTGTTGATATTATTTATTTTAATATTCATCTGTTCATAATAAAATATGAGAAAGTATTTTTCACCCCTTTTATTCTAGATACCAAATGTTGGACAAAAACGAGGTTTGCAGACTGTTACACAATCCCAAAAGATGCAATTACAAAATAAAACTGCTGGAATGAAACCAAATAAAGTATCTAAACCTAGTGTTGTTTCTACTCAACCAGTGCAAGACTCATCAGTGCAGAAAAATTTGCCTGAAAATAAATCTGAAACTGCTAAACCTGAGATGAAAGTTAATGTAGTTGCTAATGAAAAGAAGTGTAATCAAGTTGCTTCACAGCCTCCAAAAGGGAAAATGATACGTCTTCCAACACGAAGACAGCCCTTTCAAAGACCACCTTTTCATGCTCCATTGAATATTCCCAATCAGAGAATGCCTGGACCTAGGTTTGCTGGGCCAAGGGGTCCACAATTCCATTCGCCTCCTTTTATGGAACATCGAATGAGATTTCCTGGCCATGGCCCTCCCATGAATGATATGCGAATGCCTCCCCCTCCATTTCAAGAACCTCGTCCACCTATATTACCATATATGCCACCTGGTGAACGTGGTCCTTTCAACCAGTTTTTTCCACCAGATGGTCCATTTGAAGGAAATAAACCCCCTTTTCGTATGAGAGCTCCAGGATTTCAAAACTTTCCTCCAAGGAGCATGGATATGTTCCGTGAAAGATTCCCTCCACCCCAGTTTCCAAACCAGATGCCACCAATGCGGCAAATGTTTGAAAGGAATGGTCCAGGGTTTCAGAGACCTCGCTTTCAAAATTTAAATGCAAAGAAAAAGCCACTGCCTGCAAAGCCAATTCCCAATCAGCAAAAACCTTCAAATGGTTACAAAAGTACACAGCCCAAAGAATTGAGTGTTGCTAGTGATTCACAAGTAGTAGCAAACCAAAATACTGCACCAAAACAAGTCATTACACTTACAACAAAAAGTTCAGAGGAGAAGCAGGTTATAAAACTGAACACAAAAAGTGTCTTATCTGAGGTAAAAAAAAAAAACACTTTTTTCTTTTATTGTAAAATGTCCTGTACTTGCTTCTGTATTATTATTATTAAAATGGCGATTAACTTTTGCTTGTTATTTAATGAGTAAAATATGTCTGATAAAGCAATGTTTTGTAAATATTTATTTTGTTAGGAGAGTATTTAAAGTATGCTTTTATTACTGGTACTGGAAGTGTTTTATTCTGCTTATGTGTTCTGTCCATATTTCATCTTACTGTTTGAATACATAAAATGTAATCATTTTTATTAGCATCAGGTGGAAAAATATTTTCCATAGTGAAGACTTTATCTATATCATTTCTATTTAGGAAAATGTATTTTCTTCCTTTAATTATTATAAAGTATATCTTAATGAGATGTGTTAAAATGTCATAATTTTGATTCAGTAGGAGTAAAATGTGAATTTACTTCAACTTCTTAGCAGTTTTGCCCGAGCATTGTTAGGGTGCCACGAAAGTGAACTTGCCTTATTTTTCCATATACTGCTCAGGCAGTATATTTTCCTACACTGATCTGCAGATTTGCTTGGCCTATTCGTTTTTTTTTTTTTTTTTTTTTTTTTTTTTTTTTTTTTTAACTTTGTAATGTTTCTACTGAATGTCTTGCAATCCAGGCAAGATTGAATTGTAAAACCAGTTCAAGGACAGGATTTACATTGCTCTTCATTTAGGCTTCGTGCATTACTCGAAAAAAATGATAAGGGAAAACATATCAAAGAAACCTTTCAAAGATATTTTTGTTCCAATTATGATATTGGACTCTGCATATCTTTTTTATCTTATCTTTGCTTCACATTTTAAAGCATATTGTATTAAAGCTAAATTTCAAGCTATCCAAAGATAAACTAATCATTTATCTTTGTGTCTTATCATAAATGTGTAATGAGCATATTTGGAACTTTTCCATTTTCCGGCACAAGTGATAAAGTTGCCATAAATGGTACAAATGATGCCAAATGGAATATCCTCGCTGGCAACCTTTTATGCCTCATTTTCAAAACAAGTCGAGCGATTTCTTATCAGATTGATTGTTTCTTTCAATACTGACCTACAAATACATACAATTTTTACCAGATAGTTCAATTTTATGCCCTAAGGTGTTTCGCTGTAATTAAGTCAATTAGAGTGAAATCACACCGCTCAACCTAAGGCGAAAATATATGAAAGGCAAAGTCAAGGGTTAAATTTATCTATTCTGATGATGAGAATGCACTAGAGAAGTAAAGCATTGCGGTTTTACATAATTTCTCAGTAAACTATTCGTACAAATTGAAATAATTCTTGCAGTTAAATTTGTATTCCAAATTAAAATTTAACTTGAAATTAATGTACATAATTACTGAGAGAATTAGATTTTTGTAGAATAGTTTATGTGAGATGAGATCACTTGTGTTCACGTGATATAAACGGCGAATCAGGATGTTGTACCATGAAAGCATAGTTAGTTCTTAAGTTAATGCCTATTTACAAATTTATTGTCTTTTTACAAAATTTTAAACGATATTAAAATGCTTATGCCTTCAAAATAAAAATTTCTTAACATTTTTTATGTGTATACTGTGTGTTGTCACCAATAAAGTCTGCTTGGCGAGATTTGCACCGGTGAAACGGAAAAGTACCTCATATTTTTATATCATTGATAATGTACACCTCAGCCCAGAAGGGAAACAGTCAAAACTGTACAAAGTAAACTTGTTAACCCACGTTTTGATATGAAAAAATTCAAAGAGATAAAAATATAAGTACTTGAAAAATACACTTTTTTTAAACATTTATCTCCTGTAAAGTGTTCTTTTCAGCTCTGCACCATCATCAGAAGAAAAGCCAATGTAATTAAAAACATGTTAGTTTCGTCATAATTAAAAATATCTTAAATTAATAAATGCAATACTAAAAATAGTTTTGACTGTTGATTTTAATTCATATAATCGATTTGAATACAAAATTGTTTATAAAAAATAAGCTTTTTTTGGTCATAACATGGCAGAAAAATGAAACTGGTACATGGTTAAAGATAAAGCTCATTTTTTAATTAATTATTTATTTATTTTTAGAATCTAAATATTCCAAAAACACAGTCAGTCTCAGTTGAAAATTTATCCTCTTCAACAAATGAAATGCAGTTAAAGAAACTGTGCTCATCAGTTGGTGTTGTAGAGGTATGTTTTAAAATATTTTCATTTGTATATTTTACATACATACATGTTGTTGCACTTTTTTTTTTTTTTTAACCTGTTGCAAGATTTGGAACAATAAATTGTAAATTATGTTTATGTTACACTAAAGTTCCTACTTAATTAGTGCACAACATTTATAAAATTGGTTAGCACACGTTACTTTACAAAGCCGTGACAGAATTTTAATGTCTATGTCTCAAGTATATCAGCTGTTACTGTATGCAAGTTACCGGTAAGTGGTAACTGTAACTGAACATTGTGATAATAAATTCACACGTAATGATATCAAAAGAAATCAGAAGCATAGATCTATCATACTTAAAATTCGCTAATGTGGCTGACTGATTTGCACGATTGTGGTAGAAGTGTACCAAGAGTATGCAAGTGCTAGAACATAAGTTCCCTGTTCTAAGAACTACTGCGGCATTATCATGATCTCTATTACTTAGCATGGTTTGAGTACTCTGAACAAGGAATCACTCTGCAATAACTAATTATACAATATATACTTGTATAGTTAATTTTATGCTACCTTTTTATAATAGATTTGTGTTTATTTTGTAATAAAGTAGACTAATTTTTGCAAACATTTTTTGTATACATAATATCCTAGTATTTTTGTATTTATAATGTGTATAGTTTGTCTCTCAGTTTTTTAAACATATGTGGATCTCTAAAACTTTTTTTAATATTATTTTATTTGCTGAAAAAAACATCACACAATATACTTCTTCAATTCTAAGGGTGCTATCGCTCATCTGTTTCTTTAGGAAGAAAAATTTTTCTACTGCCTTTAGTATTGCAGGAAGGATGCACAATTTTTTTCCTTTGCTCCATACAAAGTTGTATATTGTGTGTTTTCTTCCAATCAGTATCAAACTAAAGAACTTGAATGGAAGTTCTTTGTTGGTAATCTTTGTGTTTGAAATTGAGAACCAGTTTATCCTTTACATAACCCAAAAGTGATCCATGGTGATTGGCTGTTTTATATCACATGACAAGTTGCAGAAACAGAAAAGTTGCACTAAACACTTTTTTCCAAAATGTTTTAAATGTGTGATAAAGACCTATAAGGTTGACCTTTCTTGCTATGTAAATGTTGTTAAAAATCAAGTGCCTAGATATTTCTAAATTATTAGTCATTCCAAAGTTACTAATTTTTTATAAAAATTAATTTGATTAGATACATTGTTATTTATAATAAATCGAAGTTAATAATTAAAAAATATTTTCCTAGAAGATGTATTTGAACATTTTGTTTGTTTAAAATCGCAGTCTTTCCATCTTCCCCTTTCTGTTTTTGGTGCTGCTGAAATTATTTGCTGTATCTTAAAATTGAAGTAATTGCTGTAATTTCTGTACAAAAAATTTTTCAGAATCTCTGAAGTACATTTATTTAACCATAAAACTAGTTGCATTTAAGAGATTTTCAAAAAAAAAATATTGCTATGAAGCTTATACTCAAAATTTTATTTTTTAATTATTTTTTAGAATATTCAGCTCTTGAAAGCTGAACGAAAAGCCATAATTAAGTTCAAGGAACCTATACAAGCACTTAATTTTCAAAAGAAGTACCAGAGGTAAGTAATTAATTATTAAACAGTGTTAAGGTTCTGATGATGATAATGAATTTCTTGTTGATATTACTTTCACATAGCTCTAATTAGTCTTATTTTCAATGAATTGTTAAGGTAACTAGACAATTTTAGTAACTAATACGTAATTAAACATTTCCCTAAAATCAGGTTACTGAATGAGGGATTTTTTAGACTATGACTGATATTATTGCAGTCATACAGGTAATTAAATGTTGAAAAACCTTATTTTTTCTAAAACATTTTTCAGATGTGAATTAATTTGTCTAGTTTGTGGTAAAAGATTTAGTTAAAATATTGTGTATATTTTTTGCATAGTTATTATATTGTGTGTGTGTTGTTATGTATGAGGTTTGATTTGGTTAAGTGTATTGTTACATATAAAGTTTGATTTGGTGAAATATTATGTGTATTAATTATGTATTATAATTAGATTTATAAAACTGATATGAAACTCAAGGTGAAAAGTGAAGTAATAATATTTGACAGGTATAATAATACTTAGAATTAAAGGATGATGCATCTGCTCCAGTACATTAACAAAATTTTGTGAAATCATGTATCAAAATGCATTTAATAAAAATTAGCAAGTCTGTATCCAGCATGTGTAAGTACAACATGTTTATTCATGTATAAATATTCCCCAAAATTTATTTTTTATAGAATCTGACATTTTATTGAATGCTATTTAGAGAAAAATATTAAACCCAAATGCTCTGTATCTATAATTTTGTGTAGTGCATCTGGAAAGTCCTATATTATCTCTAAAAATGATGTTTCAATTTCTTGACTCTCTGGCATCATTCATTGCCTTTATCCAATCATAAGTTTTGCCATTTAGGATGTTTTACCTTATTATTTAAAATCATTTTTATTTTTTTCAAGTCCTTATCAATAAACGATCTAAGTATCATTTACTGAATAGCCGGAGAGTAAAGTTTTATTTTTTTCAAGTCCTTATCAATAAATGATCTTAAGTATCATTTACTGAATAGCCAGAGAGTAAAGTAATTAATTATACAAACTGAGCAAATAAATGCTGTTTAAGTACAACTGTTTTTAGCAGATTTGAAGTCATGCCACTCACAGTGTTAAATATCATCTTCTTGTGAAGTTCTATACTCAGAATACCATACCACTTAGAATTTCTTGGGGGTGGGATAGTTTGATATTCCAGTATACTAGAATATAGAAGTATACTAGAATTTTCTTTCACCTTTCCATTATCCAATTAAGATATCTGATGATTTTCAAAGAACATTACTCATAGTTTTTTTTTGGGGGGGAAAAAATGCCTTGCCTACCCAATAGAGGCATTGAAGGGTATGATTCTCATTTGTAAATTGAAGGTAAATCCACAAAAGAATCCTTCTAGAACAAAGAGGCAGTTCTATCAGTAGGAGAGAGAAGCTGAAGTATAATTTTAAAGAATTACAATCAATTATCTTCTACAGATTTGCATCCTTGAAGGCAGAAGTAGACAGCAAATTGTCTGTATCTTAGGCAACAAGCAGACAGTTGATGTTTTGCATGGGGAGCTATCATGAAGAAATTAAAGTTATGAAATCAAGCTAGATAGTAACACATTATATATGACATTATTGTATAAATATTGTTCCTTGTATAATTCTGGTGTGTGACATGATTTCTTTTTCTGGCTATGGAGCTTTTAATCACACCTTGTATAGAATGACACAAAGTGTCTAAAGGCATATAAACTTTTGTGTTCAACATCAAGAAGCACAAACTGAGTAGCCAGTGAAGTTCATTGCATTTAGGATTTGTTATAAGAACTTTCCAGATACATTGTGTTAATTCCTTATTTCTCAACTATGACAAAAAATTGTGAACTCTTGAAATACTTGCTTGAAGCATTGAAATACTGCAAATTATACTTCATAATGAAGATTTGTTAAATAATGAAACAAATAATAACATTATTAAATAATGGAATTAATTAATCAAAGTTCTAAAATTATTACTATTTACATATACAGTGGCAACAGCTTAATGTAACTGCATAAGCAAGTTTTAGTAATAAAAATAAATGAATGATAGCGATGTTCTGTAGATCTGTATCTTTGGTTACCATCTCGATTGTTAGTACAGTCAAAAGTCGTTAATTCGGACACCCATAATTCGGAATGATCTATAATCTGGACCTCAAAACTAAAAACTTTCTGCTCATGCGCCGCATTGACACATGCGCATAGGCGTTTACGCGTGCGCAAGTGCAGAATACGTTTTCGTGTGCGCGTTTTATGTATGATGGACGTATAAACTAAAATTATCTAATTATCTACTTCAGTTAATGTTGATGATTGCGTTGTTCCTTAATTTTCGAATTGGATCCAGCTTATTATTTTTTGCAGACTGTAAGAGCAATTTTATAAAAGTAAGCTTAAACTTTCGATTATATCAAATAGAATTTCCGATATATATTTGTTAATATGTAAAGGATCTAAAGCGAAAGTATGTTTTGAAATCCGAAATCTGTTTATCAATTTCACGCTGCTCAGCGGGGGGGAACGCCGCGGCGGGTGCGTAATGAATTGGAAGTTGATCTGTCAGCACTATCCTTATCTTCAGCGCAGATGTTTTTATTTTATTTGGCTTATAATTTCTTACCAAATGTAGTATTTCATCTCGATATGCTCGTCTTTGATATGATTTAAAACAAGTTCCTCGTCATTATAATTCGCTTCCGATAGCAAAGAAAAGTGACAGAGGTTATTGAAAACGAAAAAATTTCGATTGACAAATTAGTCGGTGTTCTCGACACAGCAATTATAGGACTTGAACAGCGGAACTTTGTAACTGAACAAGAAATTATGTCTGTTTAATAGAATTAAAGAGAAAGTATTATCACATGAAACAAAGCAAAACTTAAACAACTTACATTAAAAGAAATGTTTGATAAAGTAAACAAATAAATATTAAGCTTTTTCTTTCTGCAAATTTTGATACCCTTTAGATCATAATTGTTCTTTATTTCATAAATTAGTTTCATATTTTTAATTTTAGAATTTCTGCATGCCATCTTACGAGATTTAAACTGATGATCTATAATCCGGAAAAATCGATAATCCGGAATCGCCGAAGTCCCGACGAGTCCGGATTAACGACTTTTGACTGTAATATTATAAATATAGTATTGTACTGCAGAAAGAGCATGAACTGTTATAGTTTTTAGAAATCATGAGGTGTGTGTGTTTTCCCCTTATTACCTTCAGAAATTTTTCTGGTTCTTTAACACTATTGCCTGAAATTTGCAAAGGTTTACACAGCTGTTAAATTTTTTCTGATGTTTTCATGTTTCACAGTGCTGGTTAAGGAGACTTTATTGATAGGAAAAGAAATTTAAATGTTTTAACTTTGCATAGGTTGTGTTCTACCGAAAGACAGATGTTATGGCCGAGTTTGCCATCCCATTCCAATATCCAGGCTTCAAAAATCACGTGTTGTGGAGTTGAAATAATAATTTAACAATTTCTTTGCACTTCTGAAATGTAGTAGATTTATCTTTAATTATTATCAGTCACATTTTTTGTAGTATTTTCATTCTGATGCACTCAATAAACATTGTTATGTAAATATATTTTGAAAAACATGCCAGTAAAGTATGAATTTATTTCTGCTGTATGTACTGTCTATATTCAAAATTATGGAGGGCAATGTAATTATGCACAAAACTCTTGCATCCGGAAATTCGCATACGTGTTTTCCTGAAGGGTTAATTACTATCGAAAGAGCAAACTTTTATTTCCCATTGAGAAGCAACACAAGGAAATTATAAAAGTTATAACATACTCATACTCAATTTTCATAGAGCAGCTGACAGGCTATTATTTTTTTATTTGATAGATAAAAACTACTACAGAAAAGTGCCGTATCCTAAAAGAAGCATATGGGAATGGGGCATTATCTACCTAGTTATCTAAATTTTGAGCAGATCCACGTATTCTTTGAAAAGTTTTTCAGAATTGTGACTAAAGGGGCTTTCTTTTGACAATTTGTGTAGTGAAGAAAATTTAGGAAAGCTGTGATTGCTACAACTAGATCATTGGATTACCATTTGAAATTAGTTTGAAGCAGTAAATGTCAGTGGATCAATTGGTAATGACATTTTTGCAGTTGTGTTGGTAATTATTATCACTAATGCTGTTTTTTAAACTTTATGCCAGAATATTATTGTGTATTCTGACTGGTCTTGCTCATCAATCATTTTGAATTTACTTCATATGCTCACCAGGATATTGACAATATTACAAAAAAAAAAAAAAAAAATTAAAATCTGAAAGGTTTCAGATTTTAAATTATGTCCAAAGGGGCATTGTTTTAACTTTTTATGTGTTACCTTTATTTATTAAACATCATGTTCTTTCCACTTAAAGCATGAAATTAAGTTCAGCAGCAGTGTCGCAAAATAATTTTAAAATGAGCATATCTTTAGAATTTCTGATACACAGTTCCACGCGTTGGAGATCAAAAGTAGCCCCTCATAGAGTGTTTCCATTGCTCGCTTTTAAATCATTAAGTTTGTTAATCAAAAATTTGTTCAAGTTTTATAAAATATGAAATTGATAATAAAACAAACTATTGTCCTCCGTTATGAGCATCTGAAAAGTGTTTTGTGCTGTATTGTAATGTGAGATCATATACTACTTTGTTGATTTGATAGTTCCTGCTATAGCTTTAAAAAACTGTATTACTACATCCCTCTTGTCTAATAATGTTTAATCAATCTACCATAATGACTTCCTGTTCAGTGGATGAAATGATGACTTAAAACCACAGTTTTGAGCAGATGTTCCAACTATCTAAGCAGCTGTGACAAAGTAATTTGCAGATGTGTCAGCAAATGTTCTTCAAAACAGTATTAACATTAGAACTGCGGCAGGGCAGGGCAGTTTCGGTATACCTAAAACCGCAAGCTGGGTCAAATTGACCTCCAAATAATAAAAACCCGTGTTGTTATGCTAAAA